GGATATAAAAGGAAGGTCATGATCGCCTATTGACTCTGTGCTCCTCTAGAGGGATACAGAAGGGCCAGACCACACACTTGCAAACTAAGAGTTTGGTTGTAGGACTTAGCTTGTTTTGGAGAGGCAGACAATAAACAAAACAGGAAAGGGAAATTATATGATGTGTTAGGAGGTTATCAGCGTTACCAAGTGAAACAAAGTTGGGGAGGGGAATAAGGAAACTTTCTCTGCATATTTTTTTTAAAGATTTATTTATTTATACAAGAATGGGGTACAGGCCAGATGCGCGGGAGGGTGAGAGGATTCACCAGAGACAGAGCGGGGAACAGAACAGGCAGACTGACAAAATACACTGCTGAGGGGAGCAGCGGGCGAGCCAGGAGAGGTCTGCCACACCATGTGGGACCTTCATTGGCCAGCCGGGATCGAACCTGTGCTGCAGAGGCTGCGGACAGCTTCACAGCGTGGTGCTCAACCGCTTGCGCCACCAGGGGAGGGCCTGTGCATATTTGTTTTTAATCAGATGATCTGTAGAGGTGATCTTTGAGATCTTTGAGAAGGTGACATTGAACAAAGACTTTAAAGAAGTGAGCAGCATTTTTCATTAGAATGAAAATGGGATACTTGTATTAGACTACACTAAAATGAAATTTATTTTGGCTGAAATAATGAGGTGGGGATTTATTGAGTACCAACTAAATGTTAAGTGTTATAGAGGACATTCATATCCCTCGACCGATGAATTCTTGTTCAGCTTTGGAGGACATCATTTTTTAGACCATACTCCTAGTGGTCAATACAGGGTTTGTATTCAGGTATGAGACTTCAAGGTTTGTGCTCTTTCCAAAGAGTAAATATAAATAAGTGTATAATTATAATTATGAGTTCTGAAAGCATAATGTGACTGCTCTGGTCAGAAATATTTTATTTCTGCTATTCAGTAAAGTAAACAAAATGTCCCTGATGAAGAAATGGATCATTAACTATGTTTACAAATTAAATTCATAAGCCCTTTAGGATAGCAAGTCTCTGTTCTTTTGAAAATGTGATGGTATAAGAAAAAAAGATGCATTTAGAATATTTATTTTTAGTTACCTATTTAATAGGTATGTTGAGAATAATTTCCTTTTTCAAACTGTTGATAAATTTATCAGTATAGAACTTTAATTTTCTTTTTAGTACAGCTAACTCTGATGGTGTCTGTGACTTTTCAATATTTTGACTCATTCATCTTAATTTAACTGGAGTCAAGCTTCCTATGTGAAGTATTATTTTCCTCAAACTGGGAATCTACTAATAATTTTAATTTAAAAAGAGCTTGTGGCAAAAGGACTTTTCCAATTCTTGGCAAGTTTGAAGTTCATTGCAATTTTACTGTGGATAGAAATCTTTCCAAAGGGGGAGAAATCACTCTACAAAGGAAAACTTTCAATCCTTTTCTCATGTGACTTGAACTTTTAAAATGATTTTAGCAGCCATGTATGAATCTGGACATTATTCTTAGTTGTTTAGTACTTCAAAAGCACTTTCAAGAGGGAATTGTTTGGCTTATTTGTGATTCCAAATCAAATACACAGAGAGATTTGGAAGATTTGCAACAGGAAGTAATCTCAATTCTATGTAGGCACTTATCTTGTGCAAAAAGTCCCAACTTTTATGAACAAAGGAAAAGCCATCTCTTTTAAGTTATAAATACAAACCAGTGTAGCTTGCATTGTTTTAATAACTAAAATGAAGGAGCTGATTGTAAATTCATTTTTTGAGTTATATTACTAGAGTCTTTCTAGAATTGGCCTGGTCCTTAGAAATCAAATTCAGCAGGTTTCTTACTCTATAGGAATACTCTCTTATATGTTGTTACATTAACCACTGCATGCAATTAACACAGATCTCTAGAGCTTATGTGCCCTTTCATATTTTTAGCTTCATTTAAACTTGACAGTACTGTGAGGAAGACATTACTCCATAGATAAGAGAGAGATTTATATCCAGGATCATCTGATTAGTAAGGGAGAGAGCCAGTATTTGATGCCACTATTTTGGCAATAGATTTGGTCCCTTTCACATCACATCATCTTGGCTTTTTTGTGCTGATTTCTTTACTGAACATCACATTGTAGGCTCCCATCAAGATCATGATCAGTGAAACTTGCTTGGTCTTTCGAAAAGTTATTTTTAAGTAAGGTCTCCTCATCCTGTACATCTGTATTTGATATTTTGAACTTGATTGTGGGACTTTGTTACTCTTCATTCATTTTCATCTTAATATTTTCAACTGAATGGCTAGCCTTCTGAAATTTTTTCACTCTTGATTCTGTTGTCCAGTTTATTGAATATTTCTCCCAACTATGTGTCAACAGCAAATTTTATAAATAAAATATTTTTGTGAGTAGAGAAGCCACACTACTGATTTCCTTGGTATGGTGTGTGCCTGTAACATAGTTGGGACTTAGTAAGTGATTAAAAAGAGATTTTTGTAAAGCACAGGGAAAAGAAAGCTCATGTATAACATCTTATAAAAAGAAAGAAAGACCCTCAGTGTAATTACTCTCAGTTACTTCTTTTGGACATAAGTATCCCACAGTATCCAGTATCTCCACAGGACAGTGTAGTTCTTGCTTATGTATTATATGTTTATAATAATATTTTTATAGTAAATAAATGGTTTTAACTCTTTTCCTTTCACACTTGAACCCATTCTTAGTTTTTAAGTATCCATGGCCTGTGACTCTAATTTTCTCTAATTTCCCTGCTGTCACTAAGGGCTCAACAATTTCTCTGTAGGCCTAGAGAGAGAAAGTGTCCTCAAAAAGAAGGCTGTGGCACTTACTTTGTGACTTTATATAACGAAGAGTTTTACTTGTATGTATGTTAGAAATTAAGATAGTACAACTTTCCAAGGAAATTTGAGAAAACAGCAGTTGTCTGAACTAAATAATGTATTTATGGTATTCTTACGTAGAGTATTTTATGGGTAGTGCTGATGATTGTGCTCGGAGGCTGAAGTCCCCTAAGTGCCAGTGCTTTCTGGGTATAATAAATGTGATCTTAACTAGCTATTTAGCATCCATTTGCCTACCAAACTCTTTATAAGCAATGTGTCTATAATTCTCTATCAACTACAGCTGGTGAAGTGAAAGAAACACGTGAAAAGATAATGTCAACAGCTAATACTAGTTTTGCAGATGGAAATAAAAATTCATGGATAATGTTATAGTAATGATGTCATGTACTACAATGTAAAGTTCACTTGGTTAACAAAATGTATAGAAATAGCTTTATTATTTGCTTTAACTCTATTTATGGAATTACTGAAAGTCTTGGAAGAGCTAGTTAAAAATCTTAAGACTTCACTGTATAATAGTGGTGTTCATATAGATACATAAAGATAATATGTTCTGATTCTAGACATTGTCAAGCCTACTCACTTTTTTTAAAAAATAGTTTTTAATGTTTGCATTCTCACTTTTTTCAATTTTAATATTTTTATGCTTAAAATGGAAGTTAGCAAACTCCAGTTGTCTAATGTTTCATTCTAACAAATTAAACGTAAGTTTTAGAGATCTGGAAACTGGAGGCTCTTATAGATTCTACTAGTCAGAAAAATACAGAATTTGTCATTTTGAGAAAATTTGCTTTCATGAAGCAGATAGTGTGGAGACTATTTTAATTTTTCACCATAGTCAGTGGATTCACTACTATTCCATAGCCATTATGTTTATCTGAGTGTGTTAATGTAGTGCCCTCTGGATACATAACAGGACATATATCTACTTTATATATAACTTTGTGCTGTCTTAGACTTTATGATCTATATCATATACTCTGTAAATAATGTCCACTATAATGTAGTATACTTTAAAGTGTTAAATTTTAAAATTTTCAAAGTCCTTTTTACTTAATCATGTATTTGAAATTTAAACTTACATTTCTTAAAAAAGATTTGGGATGATTTCTAATTACTTAGCAAAATTTTCCCATTATACTTGAATGGGAAGTAGTTATACATTACTAACCAGGTGTAATTTTTGAATTTGTATTATCTATATAAATTACTTTGTTCTGAAATTAATATCTGTCCCTAAAACATAAAACAGCCACTGATTCTATGCTTACAGAATCCATATTCAAAGCTACCTTCTTGTCATCCTATTCAGTGGTTAAGAATTGAAAGCATTCTGATTTTCTCCTAATTATGATGTTTAAAGATAAAGACAAGAGTATATTCTGAATTTTTTACTATTAAATCATTTGGTTAGATCTTCCTAAAATGAAACCTTTGAACAATGTTTATTTTTCTAAATATTCAAGGTTTGAATCACAAAATGTCTTTCAGTTACCACCTTATCTTTCAGCTTATTTCTCTATTACTTTTCTATTTTCGTATCTTTCACCCCTTATTTCTCTTTTTTGTTTTAGCGTTTCTCCCTTCTTCAATTTCTTGAATTCTATATGCTGTTTTTCCCTAACAGAAGTACTATGTAACTCATAGAATGACAAATTTGTGTTTTTTTATGGCTACGTATATCATGTATATTATTTTTAAGCTTCTAGTAAAACTTATTTTCCAACGTAACTCAGCCACAGAATGTATAATAGCATAGGCCTCTGACAAGTCTAAAATTGATTTTCCTGAATGGTTACAAAAATATCAAAAGTATACATAAAGCTTAACTGAAAAGAACAAAAATACTAGTCATAGCAATACATGAATTTGTAAACTCTGAAGGGTTAGATGTTCCCAATTAATTAAGGGACATTTTTATGATACCATGATTACTATAGAGTATGTTGCTATCTAGATGAAAAAAATAAATAAAAATAGAGAATAAATTGCTTATTTTCTTCTTACTACCTATCACCAGATGAAGCAGTCCTTAATTAGATCCCAGTTTGCTTGTACCTATAAAGATGACTTCATGATAAACAAGGATAAATGGGATTATGTTGATTCAACATCAAACTGTGTACGTGTTCTTCACATGGAAAATGACCTTTCTGGTAAGTGATTTCATTTGAACAATTAAATAACAATTTAATTCTAGTCTACTCATTGATTTTAACTTAAATAATTTTTTCCACAGAGTGTGAAATGTGAAATGTAAAGGCTTATATTTTTAAAGACTTGGGTGTGTTTTTTATTTTTTCACCTGGGTTTAAGTTATATTTTCATGCAATTTTATGTATAGAAATAAATTTGATTTAACTAAATATATTTAAGAAATAATTTGTAGCATTTAAATATTAAATGTTAGGCAGTCAAGTAATGCAAGTATTTGTAGGGATGAGAAGCTATAAAATCATGTGTGATAAGTGCACATTAATGTGTGATAAAGTAGTAATATAGCTGGATTTGTCTTTTTTTTGTTGTTTTTTAAAAGATTTATTTATTTATGCATGTAAGAACTGGGGTACAGGCCAGCTGTGGGGGGTGAGCAGATTCACCAGAGACAGAACGGGGAACAGAACAGGCAGATTGACTGAAATACGCTGCTGGGGGAGCATTGGGCGAGTCAGGAGAGGTCTGCTGTGCCATGTGGGTATCTTCCTGGCCGGGGATCGAACTCATGCTGCAGTGGCTGTGGATAGCAAGGTTGTATCTTAACCCCTTGCGCCACCAGGGAGTTCCCTATAGCTGTATTTGTTAATCATGTCATTTATAGCATTTCAGTGCAAATCATAAATTTTTGAATTTTTTTAGTCATTGTAAAAGTTTATTGTAAAAGTCTCACATGTAATACTATATATTATATAATTCCTTTTCTTTTTTTCATCTTGCGTAACAGATGGTGTAAATTCCTCTGTTGAAAGATCAACAATTGGAACAAGTTCTGGAAATGTTCATCTGGACAGAAGTAAAAATAAAAAAGTAGCAAGAAAATCAAGTAGTCATACAGGAAATAAAAGCTCAAAAAGGAAACAGGTGGATTTGGATGATGAAAATATTCTGGGTGATAATGAATGTGAATCACTACCTCAACATAAAAATGCTACGATACCTAAGACATCAAACAATTTGCAGAATAAATTGGATGTCAAAGTAGCCAAAGTGACAAAAAGCAACAAGTGTTCTGCCAAGAACAAATTGATAACTGGCCAGACAAAGTTAACACAGTTTTTTAGACTATGAATTTGGCATTTTATGTGCTTTAGGTTTATATACATATTATGTATATATAAATAAAACCATTCACCAAAGAGACTTAGTTTTTAAGAGATCAAAGTATAAATTATGATACTTTATCATTTTGGCCTGGAGTATGTGTAAGGTTAGCATGTTAGGCTTTGTTTAAAAAGAAAACTAGTAAGTCGTATTTATGCAGAATATTCACAAAGTTTAATGCACAGGTAAAGCATATCATTTAAGTTAATGGCATATTTTAATACTACTTCTTTTGAGAACAGACATTTTAAAATAATACAAGTCATAGTAACATTAAGGGCTTTTTCCCCCACAGACAATTAAATGATTTTGTTTTCTTCTGGAAAGATGTAGTGGACCAGCAGGTATCAGACTTGCCAACATGGTCGATAGACTCTTCCCAGCATGCACCTGAGCACTGATAAGAAAAAAGAGTTTAAATTGTTTAAAGGAATATTATTATCATACATATTTGCAAGATATAAAAGGATGGCTTTAATATAATTCTGAGTGATTAAAGTTGCAATAACTCATTAAATGCTTTTTAATCCCACATCTTTGGCAGGGGTCACTTAATATTAAATGTAACTGAACCATGGTCTTATTTGATTTTGTTATGATTGGATCCAAATTCAGTTAAACTCAGAGTTCTGTTTTATGGTATTAAGATAGAAGAATTAAATTTTAAAAGACTACTCACTGTCAAAATCTCTCCTTCCTATGGGAAATTTAGCTGAGTTTTCTTCATCCCCAATTTCTCTCTTTTCTTGTGTTGATTCAATATTCTGAACTCCATTTTCAGCTGGAAAAACTACAGATCCTTTTAGTGCAGGGTAAGGTTTTATAGCCAGATTCAGTGGTAGACCATGATTTAAGAAATTATGTTTGGCACCTGCATTCTGTAAAGAAAAGGTTGATTTGTGTTTAACTGTCTTATTGGGAATGGAACTATGATACAATTGTGTAATACTTTCATTGATCAATTCAAAAATGCTCTGCGCTGTTTTTATTCTAAATATACCTTAGAATACAATTTTGGGGGGAGACAAACCCATTTGGAGAAAGAGATGTTGTCCAGGATGGAAAAATAGCCTGTTATATATGAAATTTAATCATTTAATTATCCTAATGTATATTGTGACTATTTGCCCATATTCTGTGAAGTATTAATTTTACTTTTAAAACATTCATTAAAACCATTTAAATTTCCATTGAAATAAAGGACAAGTCACAATGTCACTTACCTTTGAGTTTTTGTTCTCCTCATCATTCATGAAGCTGGTCTCATCATTTCTATATTGTTCCAGGGAAGGAGCAATGACTGATTTTTCTGCAGCATCTACCTTCTGAAAGGCTTTCCCCAGCCTAAATGTATTGAATACCATGTCATCTTCTAAATTTCTTATGGACTTGGATGCTGAAAGTAAAATGCCTTGAGAAAGCAGAGAAAAAGTTAGTATTAATATATAGAAAGGGAAACTCATTTTTGCCATTCTTAGTTTGATGTTGGCATAGAATCAAACGAGGATGTGTAAAATGAAAAAATTCTCAAGCTGCTTCATAAATGATTCCTGCCTTTATATACTTTCCAGTTTGAATACAAAGTACTTCAAGGTCTTACCATTTTAGAAATGACTAATCTTTTGTATGCGGCTAATACCTACATTGTTTTGGTTTTAGTGGTGTATTGTTTATCTTGAGTGTGAATTTTCTTAGAATCTGAGTTAAGATCCTTGGTAGAATGCTTTCTGTTGAGTAGATTATAGCCTCTTGAAAATGGGTTCTTTTTAAGGAAGACCACAGGACGTCAGGCTCTCCATATCTTTATTGTTTCCTTCTGTATATTTTGTGATTAAGTAAGATACTGAAGCTAAAGTTATTTCACTCAAGGATATTAAGAAGAAAAGTTTTGTTTACTTTTAATCCTGATTACATTGAAGTAATCTTTAAACTCAATTTTCTTTCATAAATGATTGACATAGTCTTTGATGATTCTAGTATGTGTCTATCAATATTAACAAAAAG